GTTAACCTGGTAAAAATGCTAATTGTTTTTTTTTTTTTTCCAGATTCATGGATGAATTTGGAGCTTATTCGAATTTAATGACTTAATTGCTATCTCCTAAATAGTTCAATGACCTATTTATACATTTTTCCTAAATTAAAAATAAATTTTGAATATAATAAAATTAAATATTTATTAGTGGTCAACTTCGTAATGTGCATAATATAATGAATTCTACTATATAGACTCCCAAATCATACTCTCTAAATTTTACTCTTTATGTGGCGAGCAAGTTACTTTTATTATGTGAGTCCAATACAAATTTCTACATCAAGATTTTGTGTGTGGAAATAAAAATTTAGAGTAGAAAATAAAAATACATCTAATATTTTCCTAATATAGTTTGCCTAGTAGGTGGTATGGGCTGTGCAAGGTAGCAAGCCCAAGGCAGGACAGAAAAACCTTAAAGGGCCCGAAAACCTGGACCATTGTCAGGGGATTTTTCTGGAGTAAGCATAATCTCTTGCGTGGATGAATATAAAGGCCATACGTGTACGTGAATGAGTTTGCTGTTTTGGAAGTCTGACGTTATTGTTTCACACATGAATTGGGAGTGTTATACTGTGCAAAAACGACGTCGTTTTTGCGTCTAACTTAAAAAAAAAAAAAAAAAAAATTAGAATTGCATAACTACACATCCATAATTTCACTATACTTTCATAATTTCATAACTATACATCCAGAATTGCATAACTACACTTCCAGAATTGCATAACTATAATTCCAGAATTGCATAACTACACATCCATAATTTCATAACTACACATCCATAGTTGCATAACTATACTTCCAGAATTGCATAACTATACTTCCAGAATTTCATAACTAAAAAATCCAAAATAAATGAACTAAAAATGAATAACATAATGTTGTTGCTGGGAATCGAAACTGATTTTTGTTTTTTTAAGTAGGACGCGCGTTTTATACAAAACGACGTCGTTTTTGCATCCGTATGCACCATGCAGGTGCATACGGATGTACAACATAATTTGCCCATGAATTGCCACGGATTATGATTTATGATGGGAAGCTCGTTACTTTGTTCTTTTAGGCCGTTGAAGTGTCCAAACCTAAAGGTTTAAGCGTAATAAAACATATCAATTTCAATTTAATTGCATAATTTGGGTTGTTCATGGTCCAAATTGCAATTCTTTGTGTTCGATGACTCAATTACATATTGACGTGTATTGCAATGACTTATTTGATTTTTTTTTTTAAAACAAACTTAGGCTTATTAGTTGGGGCAATATGTTGTTAGCTACCACTATGGTTCTACAAAATTATAATTACTCCATAATACAACATGTTCAAAATTAACTTGAAAAATACAGAATTAGTAAAATAATAACGATAGCGTCTGTTTGAGCAACTCGATAGATTAATGAGTTATTTGTCGGTCTCAAAATTTACCAATATATATATATATATATATATATATATATATATATATATATTAAAATTAGAAAAGAATTGAAGTGAAACTGAAGAATATTCCATTCATCTAGCGTTGCATGTACGGTGCATCTTGTTCTATATTTTGTAATAGAGTCAATAATACTAAAAAAAAAAAAAAAAAAAAAGAAAACTCTTCCTTCCACAATAGCCTCCCCCTACCCCCCACCACACCACCAATTGTTATGCTGTGGAAACGTATTCACCATGCACATGATGAACACAGTGGTAGATTCATTTTTTTTTTTTTTTGAAAACGTAGATTCATAATTTTTTTTTTCATTTGTTGTTAACTGTAGATTAATAATTTCTATACTGTAGATTCATAATATCTATAACAACAAATGAAAAATAAAATTATGAATCTACGTTTAAAAAAATTTATGAATCTACAGTATAGAAATTATGAATCTATCACAGTATTCACCATGCGCATGGTCAGGGACGGAGCCAGAAAACTCGAATTGGGGGGGGGGGGGGGGCACTAATATAGTAGAGAAAAAATTTACAATGTTAGTCACATATTATTATGATCATTACTTTAGAATTTTTTTCACATAACGCAAGATATAATAATAATAATAATAATAATAATAATAATAATAATAATAATAATAATAATATAACAACAACACCATTTATTTAAATATAGATTGTCATTTTTTATCAAATAAAATGTTTTGTCAATTATTTTGCCACCATTTTTTTTATATAATTAATTGATATCCATTTTACTGATTAATTGAATATTTCAAAATTTGAAAAATAAAGATGATAATCAAGATCGCGAATTAAATAATCAATATTAATTTTTGCCAATTTCAAAAGCTAATCATTTAAACTAGCAAATGTACATATTCAAAGTATAAATAAATAATTAAAACACACAATAAATCACTAATTAATTAGTCAACATAACTAATAAAACTAAAGCATTTATCTCAATTTGGAGATTTTTTAAATTAAAATGGATAATTGATGTCCTCCATTATTAAAATCTTGATAAAAGAAATAGGATAAGAAGAGAAATGACGACTTTAATTATTTAATTGATTTCTTTTTATTTAATGAATTTGTGTTGAGCATATAGCCATTAATGTGCAATCCAACTATCAGTTTAAGCTTTTAATTGAGATGGAGCACATTCTTTAATTTGACATCAAAGCCATGCCAAAGGGCATGGGTTCGAATTTCAGTGCCACCCCTGACTCACGTGTTGCTTGGAACCCACCGCACACATGGGGGCGTTGTTCCACCCCACACGTGGGGGCATGTTGAGCATATAGCCTAGAGCTGTCAAAATGGGCTTAGCCCGCCGGGCTTTCCCGCCCCGCCCGCCAAAAGGGCGGGGTGGGCTCATGTTTTTTAAGCCCGTTTTAAAAACGGGTTTTTTTGCCCGCCCCGCCTAGCCCGCGGGCTGGCAGGCTGACGAGCTAGCCCGCCAGCCCGCCTTTTTTTTTTTTTTTTTTTTTTAGTTTATATATATATATATATATATATATATATATTATATATATATATATATATATATATATATATATATTAAAATTAATATATATAATATGTATAATATAATAATATAAATAATAGGGATAATTACACTTACTCCTATTGGTGTCATTGTTGTCATGTTGTGATGAACGAATTTATGTTATTTTCTTATGAATAAGTGTTTTAAGTAGATAGCAATTAAGTTATTAACATAGTCACATTAGATTTTAGACACTTTAGATTTTAGAGACACATCACACAGGATTAAAAAAAAAAAAAAAAAAAAAAAGGCAGGCTTTGGCGGGTGCCCGCGGGCCTAAGGCGGGGCGGGGCGGGCTGCCCCACTATTGGAAATTCTGAAATTTCCGACCACCTGAAAGTGATCTTAAATCAAGTAGAAAGTCTTGTTCCGACCACTTTTGGTATCCGGAAAAATCTTTGTTGCTATTTCCGACCACTTTTTGGACTTTTTGGTATCAACTTAATTTAAGATCATTTTCAGGTGGTCGGAAATTTCAGAATTTCCAGTAGTGCCCCTACCTAGGCCCTTATTATTGGCGGGCTTTTTAGCCCGCCCCGCCAAAAGGCGGGCTTTGGCGGGCCCCGCCCCGCCAGCTCGCTTTGACAGCTCTAATATAGTCATTAATGTGCAATCCAACTATCAGCTTAGCCTTTTAATTTATATATATTGAGTTCATTTAATATAAACATAATAGATTGTTTTTAAAAAAAAAATTAGAGAGGGGCAAAAGTGTATTTTATCCCTACTATATCAATATATACACGCATATTTATTATTTACTAAAAAAATTTAGAGTGAGGTTAGGAGTGAGATGGGGTTGGGGGGAGGGGGGTCAAGGCTCCCTACCCTCTAAAGTAGCTCTGTCACTGCGGATGAACACATTTCCACAGCATAATTTGCGCCACACCACACCACTGAACCAAACCTCCCAACTAAACCAACATCAACCCCTTTGAAACCCAACTTGTTATCTCAGCCTGTCTAGCCAACTCATTTTGATTACTCTACTACTTATGTTTGCATTGAACCCAAAATTAACATGATATGATGGTCCTTCTCATTATCTTAACCTGAATGTGGATGAAAATTTAGCAAAAAATTTGATATGGTTGAATTATTAGTGAAGCCGTAAATTTCATTGTCTCTTTGTTGAATGTATAATATAAAATATAAATATATAAAATTTAATTATTAATTTAAACTTTTAATTAAGACGTACCATATATTTTAATTTTATTCCTTTGTTATATGTTGATTTTAAAGACTTTCCTACTCTATATTTCTAGTCTAGAAGAAATTGAAGTCAATATTTAAAAAAAAAAAATCATTCTCATAATTTTAATTGTTGTAACTTTTAAAAAGTATTCATCTCAGTTTAATATTGTAATCAGTGATCACCATCCCGCTTATGACTACTCCAATCACACAGCCTTGTGCACACGTTTTTTTTTTTTTTTTTTTTGTAAAAATACTATGCTTTTCCCAAGTTTCATGGTGGACATGGGTAAAAACTCCATAATTGGTGCCATCTATAAGGTATAGATTGTGTGCATTTTTTTTAGTATGTCAAGAGTTTTCACCGTCGAACACAGTGACTAATTTTCTCTCTAAATTGTAGACAGTTCTTTTGAGATTGTGTGCATTAATGAAGTAGATTGTATGCATTTATGCAGTTATCATGTTTTCACCAAAGACATGGCATGAGCTCTAAGCTATAAAACTCCCGCCATGTGTATTGATTTTATTAGAGAAAGATGAAAAAAAATATTCTCTGTAATAAAAATCATTGCTTACATTTTTTTTTTTTGAATGAATCAATAGGTGTGATACGTAAACAGAGTAAAAAATAAAATAGATTGTGAGAGTATGTGTAGTATTACTGTTTGAGTAGTAGGTGAATAAAGTAAAGTATAAATTAAAATATTTAATTTTGTGGAAGTTCCGAGTGGCTGCTGAAATGTTGCTATACAAGCACGAGATAGTCAAACAATAGAGTTTGAAGATTCATTGTAACTACGTTGCGTCTAATTATTTTTTGGGAAACAAAGAATTGAGAGAATATCTCAGCTCCTTCCTTCATCTAAAAATGGAAAACAACCAAATAATCCACAAGAAACTCAGAGTTGTTTGCCTCCACGGCTTCCGAACAAGCGCCGAAATCCTCAAGAAATTGGTTCTCCGGTGGCCGGAATCCGTCCTCGACCGCCTAGATCTCCACTTTCTCGACGCACCATTCCCCGCTCAGGGCAAGTCCACCGTCGAAGGCATCTTTGACCCTCCTTACTTCGAATGGTTCCAAGCTGATAAGGTAGCTTATTCATTCCTTTTTCCCCCCTTTTCTACTCCATTCTCGGATTAAAGAAGAAGAAGAAAAAACTCTGCCCCTGCAGGAATTTAAAGAATATTACAAATTTGAAGAGTGCCTGGAATACATTGAGGATTATATGGTCAAAAATGGGCCCTTTGATGGAGTTCTTGGTTTTTCCCAGGTGGGAATTCATTACAATAAACAATTTCTTTTCATTTTTGGAGAATCCATCGGTGCTTACTGTGTCCATATATATATATAGGGAGCAGTTTTAGCAGCAGCAATGCCAGGAATGCAGAGGGAAGGTGCAGCTTTGAGCAAAGCAGCAAAAATAAAGTTTGTGATAATAATATCTGGGGCTAAATTTGGAGGCCCCAAATTTGGTGTTCCAAAACTAGCTGCCAATGCATTCTCACATCCACTTCATTGCCCTTCCTTGCACTTCTTGGGTACCAATTACTAATTAATTTGTGGATTTCCCATAATTGTCTGATTAGTTGTGTAAATTTTGTGTTGTTGTTGTTTGAATAGGTGAGACAGATTTCCAGAAAGAAGAAGGGAAACTTCTGCTGGAGTGCTTTGTGGATCCACATCTTATTCATCACCCCAAAGGACACACAGTACCAAGATTAGGTTAGTCCTTAATTATGGAGTATTAGTTTAAACATATCATTCAATTTAGTATCAGCGCCAAACCCATTATCAACTTTGAATGCATCATTCAATTCTTGCAAATCATGAAACAAGATTACATTAAACCTCAAACAACAAAAGATTGCATCAAAAAACTAATGACCAATTTACCATCTAATATTAGGAGTTTAATTTGATCTTGTTAACATGGTTTTTGGTATTTCCTGAGGCAGACGAGGAAAGTGTTGGAACAATGCTTGGGTTCATCGACAAAATTGAGAAAATGGCAGTGCAGGAGGAAGGAAACTAGCCTAGGTTCAGCCTTAATGACTATATATGCATGGTAATGATCTAAAGCAACATGCAGTGTCTAATTAGTAACCATACTAATTAGGTTAAATAAACTGTGTTTAACTTGTAATCCTAGTAATTCGTTACTCGACCACAAATCTTGTGATTGGTACAATGGTACATGCATATTATATCATGAATTCTAAAGTTTTGTCCACTTTCAACTTAAAACAGTTGAAATTGTTTTTGTGTGTGTGGGGGGGGGAGTGTAAACAAAGCATTCCTATGATTTTATGTATTGAATGAAATGTTCTGTCTCAATTAAACAAGAAAAAAAATGTAGCTGGTAGTTGGATGGGACAATTATGCAATTGTTATACTATAGATTAGAGTTTATCTTGCATTGTGAATCCCAAAAGTTATGTGTGTTATCATATTATGTGGCTTCAATTAATAAATTGTGTGTTTGTAAATATAGTAAAGGCACATAATATGTTAACTGCATATAATATGTTAATGACATATGATTTGTCTATAGTTTTATTTACAACCACAACATAATTTGTAAATTGTAGACACATAATATGTTAACTACAAACTAATAATCTGAATATCATTTTGGACCATGGTCTACAATGTAAGATGAACTCTGGTCCATAGTATGACAATTGTTATATCGTGCACCAGGGCGCACAATGCAACATGCGTCCTAAAAATCCTCTGTTTCATATGTACATAATTGTATAGTAGAATACATATAAACTTCTAACATAATACACAAAATTTAACATAATACATAATGCACATAAACTCTTAGGACGCACAATGCAGTGTGCGTCCTGGTGCACGATATAATTTGCCATAGTATGATTTGCCACATTTATGCAATCATTATTGTGTGGACCATGGTCCATACAAGTTGTGTGGACCATGGTCCATACAAGTTGTGTTGACCATATTTTGTATACTATAAAATAATGTACATTCAATACAAAAATAATGTACATTGTATTTACGGGATGTACATTTTTTTGTACTCAGTGTACATTATATTGTATAATGTACATTCATTACAAAAATAATGTACATTTAGCTTGTGTGGACCATATTTTGTATACTATAAAATAATGTACATTCAATACAAAAATAATGTACATTGTATTTACGGGATGTATATTTTTTTGTACTCAATGTACATTCATTACAAAAATAATATACATTTAGTATATTAAAAATATACTTTTTGTTATGGTACAAAAATAATGGAACATAATTTGCCATTACACAAGAGGACGTCAGCACTATGTACGCGGCCCATATTCCCTAGCACTCCAATTATATACAGAATGATTCCATTATACAAGTCCAACATCCAGCAGTCCTAGAACTGGAATTAAACCACGAAGTTAGAGGTTTGGGCCTATGAAAGCCCATTAAATTTATACCCCGAAGCCACTAGCTTTATTACACCAATAGTTATTCCGTGCAACCGAATGTACCATGCACATGGTGCAGGAGCGTTATACCATGGAACCGTGTTCACCATTCATAGTGAACACGGTTCCAACGGTGTTAGTACATCGTTATCTTTTTTTTTTTTTTTCTTTATTAATTGCGTGACTTTTCTTCTTCATTTTCACATTTTGCGGTTTCACTTTAATTTGAGGTGAACAATGATTTCGGACATTCATAAATTATGAATTCATGCCTACACATTCACTTTGGAACCATGCTTACACATTCCCATCCGAAATCACGGACATTCATAAATTATGAATCCATGCCTGCACATTCACTTTGGAACCATGCTTACACATTCACTTTGGAACCATGAGATTATGAATTTTCTGTTATAAGATTATGAATTTTCAGTTATGAGATTATGAATTTTCTGTTATGAGATTATGAATTTTCTGTTATGCGATTATGAATTTTCTGTTATGCGATTATGAATTTTATGAAAATTCATAATCTCATAACAGAAAATTCATAATTTGATCAACGCGCGCCGTTAACTCCACATCCGCGATTTTTTTATTTATTTATTTTTTTGCCTAAAAACGACGTCGTTTGGCCTTGTGTTGACCGTTCACGGTGAACACGTTTCCAGGGCATAATTTGCGCATGGTGCATACGATGCAAAACGACGCCGTTTTGATTAAAAACGCGCGTCCCACTTTAAAAAAAAAATTCAGGTTCGATTCTCGGCAATAACATTATTGTGGATATATAGTTATGAATTTCTGGATATATAGTTATAAATTTGTGGATATATAGTTATGAATTTATGGATATTTAGTTCATTCATTGTTGATATTTAGTTCATTCATTCACTGTGGATATATAGTTATGAATTTATGGATATATAGTTATGAATTTATGGATATTTAGTTCATTCATTGTGGATATTTAGTTCAATCATTGTGGATATTTAGTTCATTCATTGTGGATATTTAGTTCATTCATTCATGTGGATTTTTACTTCATTCATTCATTCATTCATTGTGGATTTTTACTTCATTTATTCACTGTGGATATATAGTTATGAATTTGTGGATATATAGTTATGAATTTCTGGATATATAAAAATGCTATTGCCGAGAATCGAACCTGATTTCTTCTTTAAGTGGGCGAGCGTTTTTTTTTTTATAACCAAAACGGCGCCGTATGCACCTTGCAAGGTGCATTCGGTTGCACGGCATAATTCGCGTTATTACACTCAACCATTATTGCATTGACCGTGGCCCAGATAGTTGTGTAAACAATGGCCTAAAAACACATAAAGTATATTATTATAATTAATAAAATATATTATTTTAATATATAAAGTACGTTATTCTAATTCATAAAATACATTAATCTAACACAAAATATATTATTTTACCAAAGAAATTTTATTATTCTAATACATATAAAGTACCTTATTCTAACACATGGAGTTTGCAAGAGCCTCAAATCAAGTCATAAGTTATAGCAAATCTTCTATATTTTTCAGTAGGAATGTGGAAGAGGACTAGGGATGTCAATCAGGCTAATCCCTTAGATTTGGTTATTCCTATCAGGCTATCGAGATTATCTATTCCGCCTTATCAATTTCTTTTGTTGAGTTCAATTTTTTTTTTTTTTTGTCGTAACCATATATAAAAGCATGAACTATTGAGCTTATATGTGAGTTTAACTAAAATTTGTGACATTTTAAAATTAACATTATAAACTTCTAATTTTAACAAGCCAACACATGTCTAAATAATCAACTTCTAAATTATGCTCTACAAGTAATGAAGCTCATATACGACATAAATGAGCCTAGAATATATACATATCTAAATAATCAACATTCAATCAGTTTGTACATGCTAAAATAATGAACTTTATGTACACAAATAATAATTTTATGCATACAAATAATGAACCTCAAGTTATTTTCATACTATTTTATATGCATTCATATACATTAGTGCGTATTAAATAATGTATCATATACGTAGAAATAATGTACCCTATGTATGGTTGAAATAGCTGTGGATAGCAGGAGCCTACTCTTCAAATGAGGTTGAAAATGCTGGGGCAGACAATATTCAGATTGAGATCGATACGCTAGAGGTGTACCATGACATTAGGTCCAACTCCATGATTTCTACCTTTGATTTGATTATTAGAAACATTCAGGAATTTGCGAATAATGATTTTTTCTAGTATATATTGTTTTATGTTTGTCTAATGTTGCCAATTTAATTGCTAGGAAAGTTTTGTCTCTGACAAATTGATCGAGAGGATTTATGGAGTGACTATTCATTTATTTTTCATCTTTTTATGATATATTAAATATTAATATGGAATTACTACAAGAAAAATGCACATAGACAATGGTAAAAAATTATTGTCTTGTAAGAGATAAAACTGTTGTTATTGAAGGTGTTGTTAAAGACTCACTCAAAGACAACAATTTACAACCATTTTTTTTTTTGTTAAAGAAAATGAATTTTAATTTAACCATTGTATTTTAATCAAGAATAAAAATTGTTGTTGATTATGGTGTTGTTAAGGATTTTCGTTCATAAAAAAACAACGGTTATAACTGTTATCTTTTTCGTTAAAGACAACATTTTTCACCATTGTCTTTTACGCTTTGTTAATGAAGGTGTTGTTGTTGTTTTCTTTTCTTTTTTTTTGGGTGAGAAAAGACCCGTGAAAAAATAGAAAAAACAGGTTACCACACTCTATGTGTTATGGCACCGTGGGCATCCGCAAGAAGAGGAATCTCCAAGTTTCCTGGCGAGTGATCCATAATAGTTGTACCCCAATCTACAACATTCCTAAATTCACAAGCCAGTCGGCGCTTTTCTTACCTTCTCTTAATGTGTGGGAGAACATTATCTCTCATGCAAGAACTAAGGAATCTGCCGTCTTTAATCAAAGTTGAAGTAGACTTGTCAATGTCCAACTCCCCTCTCATGGAGGCAAAGGTGTTCTTAAATACCTTGACTCAAAAGTTAAAAAAAAAAAAAAACAAACAAAAAACAAAAGTTTTCGTTAAAGATAACGTTTTTCACCATTTGTCTTTTAAATTGTTGTTGATGAAGGTGTTGTTAAAGACCTCTACTCAAAGACAATAGTTTATAATTATTGTCTTTTTCGTTAAAGACGATGATTTTTCACCGGTATCTTTTAAACTGTTATTGAAGTGTTATCTGTTTACAAAATGTCAAATTTAGCCTAAAGTCAACACACCAAAGACAACATATGGACCAAAACCATTGTCTTTGAAAAAGATATACTATCAAAGACAACAATTTTATCTTCAAAGTGTTTTCTATTTACAAAATATTTAATTTTTGCTTAAGGAAAACACGCCAAAGACAATAGATGTATAAAAAATGTTGTCTTTTGACAAAATATAATGTATACTCAAAGCCAACGATTTTTCTAAAAATTAATGTCTTTTACATAAAAAGCAACCGTTTTAACTAAAAAGATTGTAATATTTTCAATTCACATTTTTCTTGTAGTGATCTAGTTGTCGCTTTGTTTAAAAAATACAACACTATAATCTTTTAATGTATACCACTAAATAATTTGAATTATTAAGTAGTCTGGCCCACTATAACATATTATTGCAATAGGTCACTCTAAAAAATGGAAAAAAAAAAAAAAAAAAAAAAAAAAAAACTAGTTACCACCACCAAATATAAACCCTGGCCTAATAAAATTTGAACTCATAACACATTTGG